ATGTATGATATCGGGGGTGGGAGGGCAGTGGATGCGGAGAGGGAGGTTGTTACTTTGTGAGGGGTGAGAAGGATAACTATTGCATTGTTCAGTACACCTGAAACTAATAATAAAAATAAATAAATAAAATAAAATAAAAATTTAAAGATGGCAAGTATGAAGTATCTGTCCTTTTCCTTGTACCTTTGCCATGGAAGCAAGCAGCCAAAGCCAGTTTTGTGAAAAATGAAGGAAAGAAAACACCGTTTCCACCCAGGCTTACATGCCTTTCTTCGTTTGAATCAGGAAATGAGAGAGGCACTCTTGTCACAGCATATCTGGACAAACAAGCAGAACACACCAGACTGTTAAAAGACCCTGACCCCAGCTTTGGGGATTTCGTAGTTAACCTAATATGACATTACAGAATTTTCTTCAGTAATAATAGTCTAAAAAAAAAATTCCTGCAACCAAGGGATTAGCTTGAGACTAAGCTGTGTTCATCCTGGAGTGACAATATGTCAGAGAAATTAAGGTCACAGCCTTGGAGTTGGTTCGTTTTGGATTCAAACCCTGACTCTACCACTTACCTGAAGAACGGCCTTGAGAAAGTCCATTTGTTCTCTATGAGCCTCAATTTATTCAACCTGAAACCAAGGCTTTCAATAGTATCTACCTCCTAGGGGTGTTGTGAGACATACATGAGATAATGAATGACAGGTACTCAGTGCTGCACCTGGCATATAGAAAGTGTTCAATAAATGGAAACAAACATGTAAAAAATAAAGTAATCCTAACAGTCAGATGTGTTCAGAAAACTGGTTAAAGGCTGAAATGTTTCCTAAGAATAACTTATGACATCTATTGAATAGTTACTCCACGCCTGGCACATGGAATACTTGAGCTCATTGAATTTTTACAACCCCCCAGTGAGAAAAGTGTTATTCCCATTTTACAGATGAGAAAATAAGACCCAGAATGGGTAAGCTGCCTACTGAAAGTCACCCAGCCAACAAGAGTTGAATCCACTACAGAGTTAAGGTAACCCAGTTTGGTTCAAAGACAAAGAGACAGAAGGGTGATGTGAGCACAGCTAAGTGTCTGTCTCTGAGGTTGTCCTTCAGCTGGTTACCTGGAAGGTCCTGACCCTTTGGATGGCGATCGAGTGAGTTCCAAGGTCAAGGGAGCTTCAATGACTTTTGAAGGAAGCCAACAAAAGCTATTGCCTAAGATACCCCAGCTTGGGTTCTAGAACCTTAAACCACAACCATCCGTGGCTCAGAAATAGGTCTGGTTGCTGCACGAAACAGTACCCTTGGCACAGATAGAACAACTCTCAACATTGGGCACTGGCAGCCTCAGCATAGATGTTGCCGGGCATCCCCAGTCATGCCTCCTCTGTTGGTATCAACAGGAAACACCTGGTGACAAGCTGGAGTCAGAGGAATATGGAATTGGGGTGGGGGTGGGAGGACAACAGGACCAGACCCAGGGACACATATTAACACCAGGGAGGGACTCTCATCACAGTGGAAGAGGAATGAATGAGTCAGAGGTTGGCCCTCACCAGGGGAAGGAGAAACAGGGTAAGAAGAGTATGACTGCTTGGTCAGAGGACCGTTTTTACCCCCTAGTAAACAGACGAGAATTGATTATAGCTTACATATCAGAGAAGAATTCAGGTGCTCAATTATGCCAGCCAGACAGTAGACAATACCTAGACAATTTATTTTCTTGTTTCTTACATTAGTGAAAGATGTTGAGGTTTGTCTGTCTAATAAAAATCTTCATTTTGATCTTCGCAGATAGTCTTGAATGAGAAATGTCTTTACCTGTTGGGGAACATATCAGATCTAGAAGGGGCTTTCTTAACGTAAGACTCACCCACTAAACCTCATAGGGACTAACTTCTACCTCCATTGGGTAGGGAAAAAAGACTCTACATTTTAAAACAGGACTTCGCTATTTTTAAGACCTGCATTATACGAAGGAAGGAAAATGCTTGCCCACCAGGGCCCGGGCACCATCATACCAGCTTTTTAACATACTTATTTTACATGCAGTCTTTCTTATGTACTGAGGTATACCTAAGACCCACCCTTACACACACAACCTTCCAGGAATTGCTTTGTGACCCATAGAGAGAGGGGCCCAGGGCTGGCCAAAGCAAACAAACTCCAGAAGAGAAAACCGATAACTTGCATTTGCAAACAGCTCAACTATACATCGAAAACAAGGGGAGTCAAGGTATTTCTAAGAAGCAAGGGGAATGTGATGTTGAATATCTATGCAGTGGTCACGATGGTGGGTCAGAAGAATAAAATATTAAGGATCACTTCCATTGGTTTCATTTTAACTGAACATGTGACACGAAATTCTGTTTTGGGAGAGGTTGGTGTCCTCAGCACTTTCTGTGATTCTGTATAACCAAGGATTCGTTTTCAGGCTGGATCCTAGCAGAGAGTGACTCCTGGGGGTGGGGTAGGGGTGGGGATAAGGATGTAAGAGGTGCCCCCCTTCCCTGCCACAATGGCTACATGCAGATGAAGTCAAACACAGTCCTTTGCTTTGGGGCAGAGCCCTGCAAACCCCACAGCCCCAGCTGGGGGGATGCAAAGAGGGAAACAGCTTTCCACAGACAGTGACTAATTGCAATCCAGTTCTTAAAGTCTGAGCATTGAGGAAGTAAAAAACCAAATGCTTGGCTTTAATATAAAGATCCAGGAGAGAGAGGTAGGCTGGGCCCCAGCTCGGAGCTCATGGCAAAGCAGTGGGAAACCAAGAAGAGGATCCTAGCTGACCAGCACCTGTTCCCTCCGTCACACCAGGCCACCAGGACCACCATTCCTTCAGGGGGCGGGGACCTGCTGCAGGAATCACTGTGCGCTCATTGATAGCCCAGAAGTATGGGTGACACTCTACATCTAGGTCTCATTTCAGAGTGTGGGCTCACTTACCATTAACAGATCCTTTTGTCATTTTCAGAAAGTCCCAGCTTAAAGAAACCTTCTACTACTATAAATCGGCACCCAGACCCAGGAAACCATGCCTGTTAGAGTCAAGATGCTGGTGGTTAAAGAGGGCAAAACCCCCACCTCCTATCTTACAGAATATTGTTTTTTAACAAAATCAATTTCTGCCAGGGTGTGCTATATACATTTATATCACCTTTTTCTTATGTCTATTTGTCACGTGTGTGTGTGTGTGTGTGTGTGTGTGTGTGTGTGTGTGTGTGTGTTAGGAATCTTTCAGTTGCCAATGGCAGAAAACTTAATTGAAACTCGCTTAACCAATAAAGGGATTTTTATTAGCTCATGTATTCAACAAGTATTTATTGATAGCCTACTATGTGTGTCAGGCAACTGAAAAGTCTGGAGGAAATAGTAGCTTCAGGCAAAGCCTGATCCAGCAGTTTAAACAGTTTCACCAAGGACTTGATTTGTCTCTTTGGCTCTCTGCTCTGCCTTCCACACGTTCGTTCTCAAATATCACATGATAGTTGTTCCACTCTCACTTCCCTTCACCCAGCAGCTCATCTTCCTCACATTACACTGTCATGTAGAAGAGAGAGTCTCCCCAAATATCTCCCTCAGCATCTTAGGAGTCATTCTCTGTGGCTGTGTGCTCGTCCCTGACCAATCAGGATGGCTGGGTAGGGGATATGTTGATAGGCTGAAACTGATGAAGACCCAGGAATGAGGCCACACCCACCCCAACCACCTAGGGGAGAGAATAGGAATGCTGTTGGCAGAGAAAGGGTGAATGGATGCTGGAGACGCAAGCAACCAATAGTCATTATTGCATTCTGTCATTGTTCCAGCTACATGGCAAGTTCACATAGCGGTTGAGAGCACAGACTGGAGCCAGGCTCCCTGGGTTGGAATACTGGCACCATGCTTATGAGCTGTGTGACCTTGGGCAAGTTACTTAACCTCTCTGTGTCTCAGTGTCCTCATCTGTAAAGTAAGGATAATGATAGTTATCAAAGCCTCACAGGATTGTGATGAGGATTAAATTAGGTCATATTTGTAAAGCAGTTAAAACAGTAACTGGTACTTAGCAAGTATTTATAGCACTTGTTAAATACGCATAAATGGGCTCAAAACTAGTGGAGGATTGTGCACACAGTAGGGGGTCCAATAAATGCTTGCAGAGTGAATGGCATGAGTGACAAGCTGGGAGCAAGACCCACAACTATCTAGACTTTGCCCCTAGCCCTACTCCATCTCTCAAGGCTGGTCCTCTTGCTCTGGGGTCCATTGTTTAAGAGCTGTTTTCCCAGGAAGCTGGCAGCTGGGCAGAGATGAGCCTGTTCCCTGCACCCCCACCCCCGGCCATGATTAAGGTGGCACTGCCCTAGAAGACATCATTCGAGCAGCATCATTTCCTACAAACTGGCAAGAAATCTATAGGGTGGATCCCAGGGGCCCATTAAGGGGCTTCTGGAATAAATGATCTGCATGCGCCACAATCATCTGTATGGCGATTCAGGACCGGTTTATCCCCAGCCTGTGACTTTTCACGCTTCTCAAGCTGTATAAAAATGAACTGTAATCAGGCTGATCTATAGATAGACAGTTCCTGTTTCTGAGCATCCTGAATGAGGGTGAGTGTGTTTATACATTTACATAAAGCTGATGGATGTAGAGGGCTTTGGCGTGCACATGTGTGTGTGTGTGTGTGTGTTTAAAGAGGGGATGGGGTATTCTCCCAGAAGTGGAGCCAGAAGAGGTGAAAATAGGGAAGAATCACAGCGTTTCCAAACAAAAAGGAAGGAGCAAGTAAATATAAGATAAAGTTTATCAATTCTCTCTCTGCAAGGAAAGAACAAGCTGGTTTATAAAAAAAAGCAAAACTGACCAACAGGTGAATGTGAGCGATAGGGGAAGGAGTGTGTGACTTGACTTTCCTGTCTGCCTCTCCCCTGCCCTTTTCCTGTCTATACATAAAGGGAAGATGTAATCGTCTGTTTTCTATGTACAGGGATATTTAGATGTGCAAATGAGCACAGCTTGTTAATGAGCAGAGGGTGATTACACTGCAGGGAGCTGCCAGCCCCGGCTGAACAATAGGTGGAGGGAGGCCAGGTGTCTGTGAAGGGGGATGGATCACTCTGAGCACCCCCGTGCCCCTGCCTCAGTTCCTCGGACCTGTTTGCAAAATGAAAATGTTGGGCCAGGTTCTTCCTTATGTTCCTTCCAGCTCCCGGATTCTAAATCTAATGAGTTAAAATGAGAAGTGGGAGACAAGGTAAGATCTGGGTCTGGTCAGGAAACTGCCTCAGAGGCTACTGAACTTTAACCAGGAGCAGGAAGGGTGGATGAGCAGCTTGTGAAACACACAGCTTCCTCAGGTGGGACAGACTGCCTGGCAGGTGCCCTGGAATGGGGACCTATGCAGGAAAAGTGGGACCCTGTGGAGTGGGCAGGTCACTTTGTGCCATTTGGGGCAGCATTTGGTTGAAAGATGGTGATGACTGGGAGCCCGCATGCTTTTCAGAAGTCAGGGCAAAGTTTTGCAGTGGGAAACAGGAAATAAAAGAATCTGCTTTGGATTTCTAGGGGGAGATGCTCAGTAGTATTACTGAAAAGGGTGTGTACTTTGTAACGGTACAGACCTGGGTTTGTTGAGCCAGATTCATCGGACCTATTTGATCCATGAACCGTGGCTAACTAGGTATACAACTAACCTTCCCCTACTGATAAGATACATGTTACTATCTTGGCCTGTGACATGTTACTATCCTTACAAGCACTTGAGGGTTACCTAGTGTAAGAGGCAATCATGGAAGAATCTTATGAAAAACTTTTGTTGCTCAGACAGATGCCCAGCCTGGACATCCTGGGTGTGGTGGAGTGGTACAAACCCAGCCAGTTCAAAGACAACCTGCAATGCACTTTTTTGTTTGTTTGTTTTTTGGGGTTTGTTTATTTTTTGTTTTTTTGCAATGCACTTTCTGAACTGTTGTTCTGAGAGCAACAAAATAGGACACTGTTATTTCCCATCAGCCTCCAGGTCTCTATGACACCCAAATAAAGAAGCATACACTTTTTCTCCCAAAGTGAGATATCTCTGCTTGAACTTTTATAGATTCCCATGAAAGGCTTGAAGCTGTCTCAAAACTGTAAGCCTTTGTTAAGTCCCCTCAAATCGCCTACATCTGCTGTGTGCCTGGATCGCTCCAGGGCGAGGACATGTCCCTAACCTTCTATTAAGGGCATTCAACTTTACACCATGTGACTACAGCATCACTCAACCCTGTCTATAAATATGAATGCTATGCTAACAAGACTTATTGCTAATTTAATGGCAGTGGAGTACAGGCTTGTGTGCTGCGCATACACACAGAGAATGGTATTGAAAGCGAGAAAGATAATTAGAGTTTAATAAATGGTAATTTGCTCCTTGCTGCTTCGTGGGTCGGGGAGGTTGGGGGAGAATGAAATAGACTGGGGCCCTTCCAGAAAGTGAAATGTAGATAGCGAGTCTGCCATGACAGTTTTATTTTGATTCTAATATTGCCCGGGATTGTAGTTAATTTTCATTTACCTACAGATCCTCTTCCCTGAAAATACACCCTCTGGCACATGAGTAGAGGAAACAATTAGATCAGAAATATTTATCAGTGGGACCAAATTTTAACTAGAGTCACAGAATGAAGAGGCCAGGGCTCCAGAGACAAAGTGAAGCAGAGAATTAAAATAATTATCTGGATCATTCAGGAGGAAAAAAAAATCATCTTTTTTGCTTAATGAGTGAATTATCTGAATAATTGTCCCCATCCTCCGTTTTGGTCTGATGGTGAAGACCTGGCCAATAGATCCAGCAACAAAGAATGGAAGTTGTGAGTATGTGGAAAAGGAGGACAGAAAGGCTGGTTAAGCCTGAACCCCCTGACTCCCACCGAGGGGGTGGTGGACAGAAGCGAGGCTAGCCCAGTCAGGAGCTGGTGGGTCCATGAAGCTGGTAGCAAGAAAATAAGCAAAGCTGCAAAACACATGGAAAACCAAGGTCCAACAAACCAGAAATGCAGCCTCAAAGGAAATGGATTTGGTGTGTGAAACTAGGAAGCTGGAAGCTAGAGCAAAACAGAATCAGGAGCTGTGTGTGTATCTAGGAAGAATAACATAATTGCCTACACCACAGGTTCTCAAACCTGGCTGCACCTCACAGTCACTTGCTGAGCTTCTAAATGCAGATGTTTGGGCTTCACTGGTCTAGACCAAGAGAAGTGGAATTTCCTGGAGTATGGGTGACCAGCAAGTGAACAAATGGAAGGTATGGGGTTATTTATGGGTCCTGGAATTCTCTCCCCTTCAAAGACAGCTACTTTACTTAAATGCCTGCATGATCCAACACTTGAGATTTATTCATTGCCCACCTGTGTGTTCATTTGTCAAACACAAATTTCCCTTGGACAGCAACATAATATTTTCCAAGCTTGCTATGGGAATTAATAGCTACTTGTGGTGGATTTTAAATTCCACAAATTATCTGATACTCCTCCCTTCAAGAAGTGGAACTTAATTCCCCTTTCCTTGAGTATGGGTTGGACTCAGAGACTCGCTTCTAACAAAAACAATATAGCAGAAGTGATGATGTGTGACTCCCAAGATTAGGTCATAAAGGGCGTTGCAGCTTTCCTTCTGTTCTCTCTTTCAGCTTGTTCGCTCTGGGGGAAGCCAGCTGCCATGTCATGAGAAGGCTCAAGCAGCCTATGAAGATGTCCATGTGATAAAGAACTGAGGCCTCCTGCCAACAGCCATGCAAGGAAGCCATCTTGGAAGTAGAACTTCTAGCCCCCGTCAAGCCTCAGATGTCTGCAGCCCCAGCTAACATCAGATTGCAACCTCATGAGAGACCCTGAGCCAGAACCACCCAGCTCCGCCACTCCTGATTCCTAACCCTTAGGGACTGGTATCCTTATAAGAGAAAGGAGAGAGATTTGAGACAAAGAGACACATGGAAAGCCATGTGAAGACAGAAGCAGAGATTGGAGTGATACATCTATAAGCAAAGGATTGCCAGAACCACAGAAGCTGGGAGAGAGGCACTTGAAGGGATTCTCCCTCAGAACATTTAGAAGGTCCAGCCTGGTCAACACCTTGATTTTAAATTTCTGATCTCCAGAACTATGGAAGAATAAGTTTTTGTTGTTTTAAGCCCCCCCAGTTTGGGGTAATTTATTATGGCAGCCACAGGAAATAAATATACCTCCCTTCGGAGGCCCCTGGTTCATCTCAACCCCAAAACTTGGCAGCAGAGTGAGACAGGGAATTATAAAAACCATATAGTTTACCAAGCACACTTTTATCTCGCTTGGGTCTAACCACAACCTTGCGATGTTACATTGTTTCATGGGTAAGGTGGTGTTATCACTCCTTTTTTTTTTCAACAGCTAAGGAAAAGAGCCCAGAAAATTTAAGCGATTTGCCCAAGGTCTCTCACCTGGATGGCATAGAGCCCAGAATTTGGGTCTCCACATGCTAAATCCTGACCTCTTTAGTACACAAGAGGAGGCTGGCAGGAGTACAAGGACACTTGTAAAGTCTCCCAGTTCACTGTCTATAACTCCTCACTTTAAAATGTAGGTACTCAGCAGGATGGGAGGTGGAGGGAGCAGGAAGGTGAGATCAAGCTTAACACCCTTCTGCCTAGCTCAGAATCACAATAGACCTTTGACAGCATATAATAACTCCCATAAACTACAGCAGTGAAGTCTAACTTAAACATTTTAGTGGCCCCTTCAGATCCTTAACAATGCTATAAATGCAATCCTGGTGTGATTTATAAAGCTATTAAAATAAATACTTCCACTAAAATAAACATTGCTGCCTCTCAGCATATGTTTCCTTGCAAAACAGAAACACAAATTTACCTGAATTTGCAAAACCTTAAGCAATGATGATAAAGGCAGAATGGGCGCTGTACAGAAATGAACTGACGTGCACGTGTCTTGACAGCATCTTTCCCTAAGGAGAGGTGGTCTTTCAGCTTTGAAGCCTTCACCTTGCTTCTCAGTTTGGAGAAATGCCTCCATGGCCTGAGGCCCAGCTGATGCCACTCCATCCATGAATTTCACATTATGCACAGAAAAGCGCTCTTTAAAATGCTCCCCCTAACCTTTCCATATGGTTCAGCTCACATGGAGAATCCAATTGAGGTCTTTCCCATTTCTCATGTCTCAGAAATGTCTGCAGGGCCTAGACCCCAGGAGGTTTTGGAGCAGGGGAAGGACAGGATCAGATTTGTTAATCATGTCTTTGAGCCATGAGCTTTGGGGGCTCTATCAAAGGAGGCATGAATTTAGTTCATCTTCAACATCATAGCTCTTTGATCTGCTACATTTGTTCATTATGTGAGAGAGAACATTTGAGAAGACATTAAATAGGTCTGAGACGATGCCCAGGGGTCACAGGACTCAATGAAAGAGCAACAGGAAAGAGTTTGCGCCTGTCCCTCTTATTCCCCATGACATCCTTAGTGTCCACCTAGGGTGCCTGGCACACAAAGCATGATGGGAATAAGTGTAGCAGAAAGGGAGACAGAGGGCAACAGGGAGGAAATAAGAGGAAAAGAAAAGTTCTAAATAATCTAGGTCACGAGGGAACCCCACTTCAAATCTTGGTTCCTCTACTAGCTGTGTGACTTTGGAAAAAAAAATTGTTAATTTCTCTAAATCTCCATTTCTTCAGTTTGAATTGAGGATAATAATATAGTCATATTATTATGAGTCTTACACAATATAACTCATATAAAAATATCTAGATCAGTGCCTGACACAGATTAGGTGCTCCATTCCCTAAATGTTTATTGAATTGCTGAATGAAAGAAAGAAGGAATGGAAGAAGGGAGGGAGAGAGGGAGGGAAGGAGGGAGCTAAGGGAGAGAGGAGAAGGGAAGGGAAGGAAGACTGTTTCCAACTGAGATGGCCCTGGAGCTTGGGCACATTGAATGTGGTGCACGGGGCCAAGCTGATCTCTTCCCGAGGCGTGTCAGTGGAGTGCTGCCTGCCTCTTTATTTACATGCCAGGTTTTCATCATTTACCATCCACACTTAGGGGATTAATTCCCTGAAAAGTGTAGCCAGCTAGTCAAACAACACAGAAAACAGCAGCTAAGGTTGTAATTCCTATCCCATCGACAGCCCTTCCACAAAAAGAGGAAGAACGGGAACAGCTGAAAACTTCCATTCAAGTCAGTAACAGTAAGTTACAAGTGACTGTGTGTCTAGAGGGCAAGTGAGAGATGGGCAGGAGGGGGGTGCGGAGCCAGCTCCCTCTCTTTGTGCCAGCTGTGGCACAGAGAGACCCATCAGGCTGTGCACCAAGAACCTGCTCGGATTTTAGGCAAATGATTTAAAGTGTCCAATTTAGAAAACATAAGTTGAAGAGCTTATTTTTTTTCTTTCTTTTGCACCCAATACCTTTGGAACCTTTAAAGTTGTATTACTTGAAATATAAAATGTTTCATCTGCTGTGGAAAACAGTTTGGTGGTTCCTCAAAAAGTTAAACACAGAATTACCATATGATAATTTAAAATAATTGAGAACAGATACTCAAACAATTATATATGTACATGCACGTTCATAGCAGCACTATTCGCGGTAGCCAAATGTCAACAGACTAATGGATAAACAAATTGTGGTATAACCATACAATGGAATATTATTCAGCGATAACAAGGAAAGAAGTACTGATATCTGCTACCACATAGATGAACCTGAAAAACATTATGCCAAGTAAAAGAAGCCGGACACAAAAGATACATTGTACGAGGTCTGACAATGGAGTTCACAAACTTGATATCAGAGGGATTATTTATTGTGAATTTGTACCAACTGGACAAACAGTTAACCAAGTTTACTATTTGGAAGTGCTGAAAAGGCTGCATGAAAAAGTTAGATGACCTGAACTTTTCACCAACAATTCATGCCTCTTGCATCACGACAATGCACCAGCTCACACGGCACTGTCTGTGAGGGAGTTTTTAGCCAGTAAACAAATAACTGTATTAGAACACCCTCCCTATTCACCTGATCTGGTCCCCAATGACTTCTTTCTTTACCTGAAGATAAAGGAAATATTAAAAGGAAGACATTTTGATGATATTCAGGACATCAAGGGTAATACGATGACAGCTCTGATTGCCATTCCAGAAAAAGAGTTCCAAAACTGCTTTGAAGGGTGGACTAGGTGCTGGCATCGGTGCATAGCTTCCCAAGGGGAGTACTTCAAAGGTGACCATAGTGATATTCAGCAATGAGGTATGTAGCACGTTTTCTAGGATGGTTTCGCGAACTTCATTGTCAGAATGATTCTATTTATATGAAATCATATAAAATGAAATGAAAAATCCAGAATAGGCAATCTATAGAGACAGAGTGAAGATAGGTGGTTGCCAGGGTCTGGCGGAAGGAGGTAATGGGGATAAACTGCTTAACGGGTAAGGCGTTTTTATTTTTGCATAATAGAAATGTTCACTTTAAAATGGTTAATGTTACGTTATGTGAATTTTACTTCAATAAATTGTTTTCTAAATTATATTAATAAGTATAATTACTTGATATATATACATGATAAAGAAAATCCCAATCCCACATATGGGTGTAAGTGAAAACTATGTCTTCTTTCTGCCCCTGACCTTCAGTTCTCCCCATAAACAACTGTGTGTATATAACACATATATTAGTAGCATACTATACACAATGTTCTGAAGTGGGGAATGTTTTCTGAGGCCTCTGGATCAGACATACCCAGCGAATATCCCAACGCAGTCCCTGGTTTTGGAAAAACCATAGGTCCGGGACTAAAAAGGTGGTGACGTTCTTTTGGAACCTCATCGTTCAGCGTCTGCCGCATGACCCACATTGTGAGTGTGAAGAGCGCAGCCAGGAACCCCCAGAAGACAAGGTAGAAGAGCAAGATCAAACCCCAGCTATTGGCGGTGCGACCCAGGAATTCCCCGGTGGTCGGTGGTCGGGTTGTAGGGAAGAGTTTCCACTCAGCCTGGCTTTGGTTGGAAGACTTCTTGTCTTTCTTTCTTCCTCCTGATGGGTGCGCGGACAGTGAGGGGAGCAACGGCTGCGGGGTGCAGGCCCATAGGAGGAGCGCAGAGGAGCGTCCCAGCTCAATGGTGCAGCCCCGCGACCGCACAGAATATTTTAAAGACACAATTTCATGCGGATCAACCCAAACCTCCTCAATCAGAATTTTCAAAGATGGGCCCAGGAATCTATTTTTACAAAACTCCCCAGCGGGCTGTGAATGTGCAGGTGGTTGGTGGGGAGGGGCTGAGCCAGCCTGTGGCTTCCTGGGTATCTAGGCCTCCCACCTTCCGCTTTGTTGGCCTCCTGGAGTCTCCTCAGAGTTGGGGATTCCTAAGCTCCTGGACCCTCAGTTCTCTTCAAATATTCCTCTGTGTTCACCTGCCTCAGACCACCTTCTGCCCCTCCACAGATTCAGCTCCCAGGCTTTTCAGGGCATTTGCAGCAGTCAGTATCGCAGAGTGTCCATCTCTAGAACCCGATGGAACTCTCATCTTGACTCTATGCTACCCAACAACTGTGAGACAAAATCACAAAAAAAAAACTGATTGACAAACCAGAATGATAATGTGTTTCAAAGATATCTACCATTCACTGAGCCCCTACTGTGCCTCCGGTACTAGGGTAGGCATTTTCTTACAATAGCTCCCTCAGGATAGATTTTATTAAACCCCATTTTAACCAATGAGGAAGAAAACTGGAACTTAGGTTAAGGCAGGCAAAGGAGTGGTGGAGCCAGTCTGACTCGAAAAGCCATACTCTTTCCTCTACTACACATTGCCACACAGTCCAAAACCTGTGAGTTATGCTGGGAAATGGGCCTTGCCACGAACAGGAACAAGTACATCTCTATCAGGGACATCTCTTCCTGCTAACAAGGTCCCTGGGAACTGAATTATAATCTAAAGATGAGCACAGAATGGTTCAAGGGCACACAGCAACTGGAAGTGTTGTCCACAAAACTATGGCCACATTAACCTTGACCCACAACAGAACTCTCCTCTCTGGTGACCTGAATATTGGCATCTCCCCAACACAGTGGACCCTCCCTTTGCAGAATTCTGGGGAAACCCTAGCAGATGTTGGTTTTGTCTCTGCTCCATCAAGGCACTAACCTGCACCCTCAGTGGGGGACAATAGCCTCTGGTACCCACAAACCTAGGTTCAAATCCCAGCTCCTTCATTTAGAAGCCATGTGACATCAGACACATCACTTCTGCTTCATCCGCTTAGGGTTTTTTTAAGTTAGTAAATGTATGTAAAACTCACAGCCCAGAGCCCCAATTATGGCAGCATCCCCTCTCTCTCTTGCAGACGCAGCATTTTTCCAGACACTTTTGTCACATTCCAGTTCTGACGGCTGTCTCCGGTCATGTTTATGGGACTTGGGTGATTCTTCATCCTCTGCCTCCCAGCCTTCTCTACCCTTTGACCTCAATCCAAACAGGCATATGATCAAGTCCTGGCCCAGGCACTGGGTAGATGTAAAAAGGACATTGTATCTGAAACTGGGAGCCCGGATCACTTAGGAGAGGATTTCTACCTCCCACAGCTCGCTAAGAAGGCTTGGCGCGTCACATGAGGACCCATGACCCTCCTGGCCCACATGGCCTTCCATCTCATCACAGACTGGACAAGCTCCTTGGGATAAAGCAGCTTCCCAACTGCCTGACTCCCAGTCAGACTCATAGCAGGCTTACCTTGCTCTGCTTGACGGTTATCTTCCCCAAAAGTTGAGTAATATGTGAATTCATAAATCAAACCCTCTTTTGCTCCTAATGATTATTATTAATTCAAGGGATCCTTATCTTTGGCTTATATTCACCAGACTGTGTCTCCCCAGGTTGTGGGCAGAACTAATATGTATTAAGTATTTGCAACACGCTAAGTGGATTCTACTTGAGTTATTTTATTTCATCCTCATAACAGTCTTGGGAAGTGGGTACTGTTTCTATCATCAGTCCAAAGCCAATTACAATAACATATATATATATATATATATATATATATATATATATATATATTTAGCACTATTTGGCAGATGTCATTCTCCTGCCCTACGTTTATTAACTCATTCTATCATCACTGCAGTCCGATAGGGCAGATACTCCAGTCGACTCCCTTTACTGAGTCTCAGAGAGGTTGAGCAAGTGGCCCAGGTCACACAGCCACCAAATGACAGAGGCTGCAATTCAAGTCTGGGCAGCCTGGCTCCTGAGGCACCTGACCACTCTGCTACAATGCCTCTCATTTTTCTCAAAGCAGGTTCTGTACGTAATTTCAGCAGCCCACAGATAACATGACAGATCGATAGGGCGTGAGCCAGATGAGGCCTGGCTCAGCCACACAGGTTCCTGAGGCGCTGAAGGACAGACCACACTGATTGATTTCTCGGCTGGGTCTTTAAATGTCAGCATGTGCATGACCACCTCAGACCTTGGATACAGAAATAAAATGCAGAAGGAAAGGGCATTCTAATGTGTGGGAGAAGAGGAAGGCAGGGCAGAAGAAGAGCAATGACCCAGAGCACACATGCATGCAGCTGGGTAGGCTTCCTGGGCAGCAAAGAGTGGCCCCTTGTAAGCAGTGGGGGATGGGAGTGGGGTGAGAATTGTGCCCTTGACCTTGGGCTGCTGGGAAACCATTTATGGCATGACACCAACCCGAGAGAGCTGGGTCTTAACCTGATTTAGCTCCTCTATCAGTATTGATTGGTCACTGCTAGGAACTGCTGCTCATTTAGACAGCCAGCCTGGCCGCCTAAGCACAGCTCATCATCACATATTCAGTGTGGAAGAGTAAAGACAGCTTGACCTCCCTCCCAACCCCCAGACTTCACCTGGACCCCCTCCTGTCACCAGGCCCTGCTGCATGGCTCTCTGGGCCTGCCCAATTCAATCATTTATTGTCCTAGGAGGTAAGGGGACAGACACACACATGACAAAGATGGTCCTACTGACTCGCGTGCTGCCTGGAAGGCGAGACCGACACGATAAGGGAGGAAACAGAAATAGACCTGAGATGAGTTTCAGATGTGTGGTGTGCAATAAAGAAAATAAAATGAAGTAATACGAGAGAAGCTTGTGGAAAGAGTAAGGGGAAGGTAGCCCAGGAGGGCCTCCCCCAGGAAGTGACATTTGAGCAGAATTCTGAGTGATGAGGAAAAGGGAGCATTCTGAGGTCTGAAGGAAGGGTTCTCAATGCAAGGGAAACAGCAGAGAAAAAGGCCATGTAGCAGGAGCAGATTAAGCCTTTTGGACCAAGAGAAGCTAGCGCTGTGAACAGCAGAGAGGTGGGTAGTAAGGTGGGAGAGGAGGATGGGGTCGGAGGGATCCCCAACCCTTGGCGCTTTGTCACTGTGGGATGTCTCTCCTTCATAAACAGCCCAGGTTCACTACCAGGGCTTGACATCAGTGGACCTCTTTCTCCCCCTTCCACACATGTCCCAGGATATGACTTTGGTTTGGCTCCTTACCCTCACAGTCTGGGTAAAAGATTACAGGGAGTAGACTCTTGCCCAACCATGCCTTAGAAGGAGATCTAATGTGAGAGGCTAAGAAAGGACCCTGGGGTGTGGGGGTGGGGCTGGCTGGTTAGCTCAGTTGGTTAGAAAGGACCCTGGGGACTGGGAGACCAGAGAAACTTCCTGATCTTCTGATCAGGGAGTGTCTAAGCCTACCACCTACCTCCTCTAGCCCTAGCTCACAATCACACCCCCGCTCAGCACTCACTCATCCAAATCTGCTTTGGGCTCTGTCTCTGGGCCTGTGCTCCTGCTGGTCCAACACTGGCAATGACCTTGCCCCACATTCCACTTAGGGAAATCCCTCTTATTTGCGTAGCATAAATGATTCTTACTCATGTAGCCTTCCCTGACTCCCAATCACACTTAATTGCTGGGCTGGGGTTTTTTTGTTTTTGTTTTTTTTACTTATGTTCCTCTGGCATTTGTTTGAAGATCTATTTGATCTTTCATTTCCTTTTGTCTTGTATGATAGATTTCTGAATACCTGTCTCTTCCATCATACCGTAAAGTCTGTGGAGAGCAGGACTACAAATGTTGGCTTTGCCATGTCCTGGCTGTGAGGCTTTTGGCAAAATGCTTTACCTTTCCAGATCGCAGCTTCCTTTGATACCCACAGGTTTTTTGAACCTAAAACCAGGGTTCAATATCAGAAGTGTAGGGGTGGCCGGTTGGCTCGGTTGGTTAGAGCATGAGCTCTGAACAACAGGGTTGCCGGTTCGATCCCCACATGGGCCAGTGAGCTGCGCCCTCTGCAACTAGATTGAAGACAATGCCTTGAGCTGAGCTGCCACTGAACTGCTGGTGGGCAGCCGGATGTCTCAGTTGGTTAGAGCGCGTGCTCTTAACAATAAGGTTGCTGGTTCGACTCCCTCATGTGATGGTGGGCTGCGCCCTGCCAAAACTAGATTGAAAATGGCGACTGGACTTGGAGCTGAACTGTGTCCTCCACAATTAAGATTGAAGGACAACAACTTGACTTGGAACTGATGGGTCCTAGGAAAAACACATTGTTCTCCAATAAAGTTTATATATATATATATATATATGAAGTGCACTGTGAGGTGATCCCAGAAAGTTCCGTGAGGTAAACGGGGAAGTGAGACAGAGAAAGGAAGGAACCCCAAATAGGGTGCATCAGCAAGTAAGTTGCCACACCGGGTAACTGGAGTTCACTCCTGCTGGGCAACTCTGGGCGACGATGTAGACTGTAGGTTCACAGCTCAGCTGAACATTGCAATTACCTGGGAGCTTTAAAAAATACATATGCCTGAGTCCCACCCACAGAGATTTAGATTTAATTGGTCTGGGATGTGGCCTGGGCATCAAAAATATTTTATATTCCCCAAGTGATCTAATATGCAGCAAAGTTTGAGTCACTGGTGTAGAATACATCTCAGAGCTATCCCAGCTGAGAGGTGAAAAAACTGGGATGTTTATCCACCAATTCTCCATCCATCACTGGTTGAAGATGTTTCTAGCTTATTCTGTGAGTGCTCCCTTGACCAGAAAAAAAAAAATGCTCAGGTCCCTTGACCAGAAAAAAAGCCCCAAACTCACAGATGTTTGTCATAAGCAGTCTTGGTTGTATGAGGGTGAAATTAAGCAGGGTTTCGGTAGCATCGCTACATCCTTCATCTTTAAAATGGAGATAAAGAATTTGTGAATTTTTGTGAGGGTCAGCAAATGTCTCTTAAGCGCCAGGCATACAATGGGCACTTAATAAATGTTATGATCTTTGCTGTGGTTACTGGTGAATTTCCTTCAGCACCCACCTGGGGGCTTTGTAGTAGTGGATGCTCAGTAAATATCAGTAACTCTCTGCATCTCCCCTCTAAGACAGCAACCCTGGAAACCTGAATCCATGGGGCACACATCATTCAATCCTGCAGTTCCCAGGACGCTGAAACAGTGTTGGTCCCTAGACAATCTGATATTTTTAACCTTGGCGACACTGGAATCACCTGAGGACTTGACAAGAAAATATGCAGGACTGGGTCCCACCCCCAGGGAGTTCTGATTTAATTGGTCCGGGGTGAGGCCTGGGCATTCCGGATTCATAACAGCTCCCCGGGAGATTTTAATGTTGCAGACGTGGTGATTAACCAAGGGTGGGGGACCGGGTGGAGGGTTGAGGAATGAGAAGGAACACGGGGATAGTTGCATAGCTTCCCCTTCTGTTCCATCCCAATCCTTTCCTCTATGTATCCTGAGGTTTTGGGAGAATCCAGCAACTAGGAGAGGCAGGCTTGAGGCCTCACTGGGCATGAGACCTGCTGTTCCCAGCTCACAAAGTAGCCACTCACCAGCACAGGTACCTTCTTGCTTGTCCTGACATATATATCCCCCAAATCCAGCTAAATGACCCTTGAGCCCATACCAGCTCACCCAGAAACCCCTCCCTGAGTGTCTCTCACAGGCCAGGCTCTAGGAGAGGTATAGAGACACAAGGATGCCACAGTCCTCACAGCCCCCACTCCCAAGAGGAAAATAACCACCAATACCACACGTTCAAGGGCCCGGATGGAAGCCTGAAGCCTGGCAGTGGGGCACAAGGGGCAGATCATTTCCTCCTGGGATGGGAGGAGCCTGTTTTACACAGGTTTTCTGGGAGAGCCATACAGAAACCCCCTGAGGTAGGTTGTATCTCTATCTAAAAACAAGGAATTTAAGTCATCGGGGAGAGGGATGGTATAAACAGGCCCAAGCCTTCATGAAGTTTCCTTCCAGGCAGGGTGCTGGGCATGCTGCATATATCATTAATAAAAGTAATAAGAGCTCACATGCATCGGGCACCTCCTGTGTGCCAGGACTCTTTTTGGTGCCCATTTCATCTTTACAACACTGCTACGAGGCAGATACTATTGTTATCCCCATTTAGCAACTGAGGAAACAGAGGCTTAGAGCGGTAAAGTGACTTGCCCAAGGTTGCACAGCGGTGGAGCCAGGATCAGTACCCAGGCTGGCCTAGCTGCTAAGCCTCCTCCTCTCTTAACCATCACACGGAAGGCCTCTCTTTACCCCATTTCGTTCTCACAATCCAAAGAATGAGGTATCATTATCTTG